AAAATGTTGTGAATAAAGGGTTTTGTAAGCAGCTTTAAGCATTGAAAAATATTCTTAAGTACTAGACTTTGATTCCAAATACATCTTTGTCTACCTACATACATGGGTACATGCAAATGAAATATGTGTGTAGGGATATGTCATTTCATTTTCCAATTTTTCGATTTGAGTGTATAAAAAGTCACAGTGTCTTATTTATACTCTCTCTCTCCCCCTCCCCCTCCCTCCCTCCCTCCCTCTGTGTGTGTGTGTGTGTGTGTGTTTGTGTGTGTTTAAGAAAGAATGGAAGCTATTCCTTAAAGTCCTCCTGAGAGGACTTGCTGCTCTGACACCTTCATCTCTCAAGCACACAACCATTCCAGGCTTGCCAGTCTGTTTAAATTAGTCATGTATGACTAGACTCGGGAAAAGTGTAAAGGTATCTGCTCCAAGCCTACTTGGAGCCAGTCGGAAATGAATCTGTCTCCCAGAGATATTTCTTCAGACAAAATTATTAATGCTTAGTCGCATGGGAAGTGTCTTTTTTTTTTTTTCTGGCTGGGTTGAAGGATGGGAGAATTTCCACCAGGATAAGCCCACGATCAGCTGGTGTTTGGTGGAGGAAAAAGGATAAAAGGTTGCTTCAGGGAAGTCTGGCTTCTTTTCCACCCCGACCCCCTTTTTTTCTTTTTAATCTTGCTCATCTTGCGTGCTGTTTTCAGTCTTAATCGCAACCAGCATTTTGTATACACTGACAATAAATAAGAGGGATGGAGAGGGGGGTGGGAAGAAAAGAAACCAAACAATTTCATTATGATGGAAACAAGGAACTGTTCTATTTGTCCAGGTTAATCCTCTGCTATCTGTCTGAGTTTATTCAATTCAGAATTTGAGGATGTTGTGGATAAAGGGCTTTGCAATCAGCTTTAAGGGCTGTGGTGGTGCAGTGGTTAAAATGCTATATTGCAGGCTAATTTTGTCCAGGAGTTTGATTCTGAGCAGCTCATGGTTGACTCAGCCTTCCATCCTTCCATGGTCAGTAAAATTAAGGACCCAGATTGTTGAGGAAAGAGTCTGACTCTATAAACCGCTTAGAGAGGGCAGTAAAACACCATGAAGCAGTATATAAGTCTAAGTGCTAGTGCTATTTAAACATTCAAAAATATTCTTAAGTACTAGGAATAGGTTTCATATACATCTTTATCTACCTTCATACATTTGTGCACACAAAATGAAGTATGTGGGTATGTCATGTCATTTTCCCAAGTACTTCATTTGAAAGTATAAAAAGTTAAAGTGCCTTATTTATATTGACTTCATTTTCACCCCAGCTCTTGAGTAACAGAAAGTCTTGTGCATGGGGGTTTATTTTCAAGCTGGGAGGGATAGATAATTCTAAATGCCTTTCCTTGATCATGAAATGATCCGTTTTGAAAGTGAAGTTTGCCACACAAGGAAAATGTTCGTTAATATTTAACAATCTAAAATAGAACCTCAGGTTTCAGACTTTTATCAAAGCGTGGGTACATATACTCCACAAAATAGGCCTTTGAGATATAATGCTACACATTCTGGTATTGATAGTTCCAGTTATTTTACAGATCAATACTGGTAGAATTCATGCTGCTCATCATTAAGTTTCTCTCATTTCTCTCATCATCCACCACGATGCCAGGATCTTTCCTGACCAAGTCACCACTAGTTCAGGCTGCATGTTAAAGTAATTTTGCTTCATCATCTTTCAGAACAGTATGTACTGGTCACTGCTTCCCTTACTTCTACACCATGTATGTCTTGCACAAACCTCTCCATGCCACTTATCATTAATTCCTGGTCTGTATTTCTTTTGATCAGTTCCACAAAATACTCTCTTAAATGTAGCCATATAAGAAATCTAGAAATATTATCCCTTTCTCAAATGCATGTGCTAAGTTCATTGGGGATAATAGAACCCAACACTCTGATTACTTTTGGTCTAGGACAGGGGTCTCCAACCTTGGCAACTTTAAGCCTGGTGGACTTCAACTCCCAGAATTCCCCAGCCAGCTGGCTGGGGAATTCTGGGAGCTGAAGTCCACCAGGCTTTAAAGTTGCCACGGTTGGAGATCCCTGGTCTAGGAAGCAGTAGCACAGTCTCCTGAATTCAATTACTTCTGTAATCCACAGTGATTCTGAAGTGGAACCTATCACTTTTTCAAGTTTCTACTTTAACATAGACCTCTCTTTGAAACACAGAACAGCTCCCTTCTCTCTGTCTAGTAGGTCTGTTTGATTTATATCTAGATATAGCTTATTTGGGAGTCCCCTTGATTCCAGCAGTTTTCTGTTATTTTTATGTTTTAATTTACAGTAATCATGTCCAACTGTTCATCTTGAAGAAGATATTAATTAATATAACATTAATATAAGGGGGGAAATATATGAGTTCTATTTGTGTAGGTTTGTAGGTGTTGAAAACAATTAACTCTTTGGGCTAGCGAGCGTTTCCAAGTGCACATTCATTCATTCCTTAACCCTACTTGTCCCAAATTTGACCAGAAATATTTTCATTCAGATGCCCACAGGATGATTCATTTTAAATCACCTCCTGGTTTTTATCCATGGGTCAATTTAATGCTCTCTATGTTGTTTATATTAAATATCAATGATCTGGCTTTATTTTAGATTAAGAGATGCTTTCTCTGCTTTTGCCAATTGAATTGTCCCAAAACATTTCCATTAATGCTTAGCCAGCCCAAATCCTAACTCTTGGAATCTTGTCCTCACAACAGAACTATTCACTTGGACTAATGCCTAGCATCTCCAAGGAAGTCATCTTGGAAATTTCTGGAGTTAATTTTTTTATTTAGCATCATCCTGACAATTATTATTGCCTTCTTCTTCTGCCTACATTCCATAGTTTGTATGTCGCACATAAAAGGAAACAATATTGAAATATTGATTGCACCAATCATGAGTTTAAAAACTTCAAATTAAAGATTATTTCATATCGATATTATTGAAGTTTACCATTAGTAATAAAGTGGCCACAGTTTTTCTGAGATCATCACCAAATAGCCTATTGTTACCCTTCAAAAAAATTGGAAGGTTAAATTACATTTAGACCTTGCCTAATGTTATTTCTAAGGAACATTTCCTTCTTCCTGTGTGTGATGGATTTCTTTCCAAGGCTGTCATGTTCTATAAAAACAGAAGTATTGCCATCTTGGGAGTGCGATGTCTTTACTACAATCTTGAGCGCCCCAGACAGGACTCTATTATGCCTCTGTTCGCCTATGCAGATCAGCCTCCCTTGGCTTCAGATGAACAAACATGTTGTTGCTATGGCTAAGAGAATTCATCAACTAGGCCTCCTAAAGCTTGCATCTCCTTCAAGCTTTTATGTCCCTGGCTTTTTTCCTCAGCCATTGCTGCAGCCAATATAGATTAGGGTTTCAAAAAAACAGGAATGTGGTTGAACTACTGGGTTGTGCTGCGGTGAAAGCAAACGATCAAAATATGCACAGTTTTTTGAAGTTTTGTTTGCATCCATGCCACAGGCATCTTGTTTGGTCCTGAGAAACCATCATCTAAGTTATCTCTCACAACGCAGCTTATAATGATTATTTTCATTAATTTTATTGTTTGTGGATTTGGACTCTGTCAACATTTTAGTCTAAGGGAAAATACTCTTGCAAATGAATGCTTTTATTCAGATAGCCAATTTCACCATCGCCATCTGTTCTGAACAAAAATCAGAGAAATAACTTCTCTTGCTGCAGTTTTAGTAGTTTCTTTGTGTATGTGTTGGATTGGACTGTAGATTTTTCCATCTAAACAAGCCTCAGACAGCTTCCAGAAACGCTAGCATGTAGCCACACTGTCTCCTGAAATGCTCTGTTCTTTCCCTACAACTGCTAACAAATTGCCTGCATATCGGAAGGAATGAGCTTATAAGTCAAAATCACTGTATGAGAGGAATGGTAAGGCCTTGCCAGAGCAAAGACCCTCCCTTTCATGAAAACATTAAATCTCAGATTCTGAGAGTTTGTGATAATAAAATGTTTCACTCAAGAGTGGGAATTTACACCTCATTGGATGGCATAAAATGCTGTTGAGGCTCTTTCAAAAATCTTTTGAGTTCTTGGTTTATTTGTCACATACTGTACAAGTTCATTCTTCTAGAAATGTTCAGGTTGAAAATATAGTGGGAACAAGGAAAAAAGAACAAATAGAAAAATATGAAATAAGTAGCATAAGTGTTACATATTTATTTTACTATCTTAGAACCAAAATGATTTAAGAATTGGTACATAGCCCGGGAGTTTTTATAGAGACATAGAGACACACTCATATACATACACGTACAGTGAAAGACCTATTTGTAGTTGTGATATAACTGCAAATATCTTGGATTTAGGACCAGGAGAACACAGCTTAAAGTCCACCTTCAAGCATGGTGACAATGACTTAAGGTCACTCACCATCTGTTCCTACCCATGTGGTAGTGGTTGTAGAAGAAATTGGAGAAGGGACATCTTTGGGACAGTTTAAATTCCTGGAAGAAAGCAGGATATAAATCTAACAAAGCTCAGCAGGATATCAGTAGAATGCTCTTCATTTTTGCTCTCCAATTTTCTAAGAGTCTAAAGTATATTTGTTTGGGAACAGTCTAGATTCTTCTTGAGCCAACTTTCACATGAAGACATAGTTAGCCAATTATTGTAGTGTTACTTATTTAAAGTATATAAATTACATATTGTGCAATGTATCTGCGGTTTTCAAAAAGCAATTTCTGGGTAGCTGTTCTCTTTCTATTCAGGATAATTCTAAGATTATTAATTATAATTCTATTTTACAGTAACACAGAGCAGCTACAGTAACTACTGTGTTTTTTGGTGCCCGATAGGATTTCCTTGATGGTATTTCTGGATAATTTATATTTTGCATGTGATCTGGATGATTGTATATTGAACTTGCCCTACAACAGTCTTGTATTTTGCAAGGATTATTGATGATGAATTAACTTTAATGTATTGCAGACTTAAAGAGGCCGAAGAAGTATGCAGACAGAAAAAAGGAAAATCACTTTACAATATAAAACAAAAGCATGATTCGGGAATTGTAAGTATGATTATTCTTACTATCTATAAAAATGTTAAATGTTAACAGCAAAATGTAAAAAATGAATGCAAGGTCTTAAAATAAAACTAAGCAGATCGCTAGATTTAGGCAATAGTGATGGTGATAGCAGTAGACTAAGCACCAAGTTGCTCTAACTGATCTGCTATAGTCACTTAACCATAATGCAAGATAAATGGTTTGTTTTAAGCACCTGGAAATTATATCTTGGGAAAACTCAACTTCATATACAAATAGTCTGATTTAATTGAATTTTGATCTTTGAGTTATAGAAACATTGTTCCACGTGGTTGTTTGTCTTGTTTTGGACTATTAACAGCAAATCTTACTCTGTGACATTTCCCTGGTAACTACTTTTTTAACTATCCATTGTCAGACACACATTCACTAAGGATGTGGGTCATAACCACTTCAATGTGCAGGGCTTTTTAATGTTTTCTATTGGGAGATGTTTCAACTGCATAGTTGTTTCATGCATGCATAGGAGATTTTTGATCCTATAAGGCAGCACAGTTATTTTTCAGGAAGCAGAGTTAGAGTAATACTGTACAGCATCAAACTGAACAGTATCAAACATTACTGAACAGATGCAGGACTATAAAAATAATGGGGTAACCTTTGGCGATATAACAGGTTTCACAGTGTTTATGAATATGCTTTGAAATACTGGATCTCTTCTTGCTCACACTGTTCTCTGTCCTTCATTTTCAGAAAGCAAAGATAAGCATGAAAATATGAAAGAAGAAAAACTTATGTCTTTGTTCCCAGACTCAATAAATTGATCATGCCTTGGGAGGTAGAGGAAAAGAAATATTACCATTCAGCCCATTTGTTTTCTTGATTTTCTTGCATTTGGTTTCCTGTTTACACTGACTACTATGAACATTCACTGATAAACAGATTTGCACGATGGATACCCAATAATGGAAGCTATTTGATATCTCTCTCTTACAGGCACCCCATACACTACATTCTTTCCATCCAAACATTATTTTGCAATTTATATGGTAAAATACTAATAAAGACTAAAGTAGTCTGTGTAAGCAGCCGTATTTCAGTATGTCCTAAACATACTGAAAACTTTATAAACATCTAACTTCATATAGATGTTCCATTCCTGTAGGATTTTTTTTTCTCCAAAGCAAATACATTACAACATTGCATTTAGATTAGGGAGAATGTTACTTCTCAATAACTCTTTGTATCTATTTCCTATTGACCTTGTAAGTGTACTCTGAATTGGTACAAGTGTTTCTTTTACACTCTAAGCCATGATCTCCAAAGTTACTTCATTGCCTCCTCACAAAATATATCCTAAATATGACATTCAACCCAGCTATTATTATAATTGACAAAGTTGATCATGATTTGCTGATATTGATGAATGGAATGAAAACAAAAAGGGGGAAACCCAGTTACAGTTAAGCACAGGACTCACTTGGTAGATACCAAACAATCTTGGGTATTTCAATATTATATTCATTGAAGAAACTGTTTGCAGAGTAACAGGAAACTTGTGGTAGACTTTCTATCAAACTCTTGAGTTTAAAAAAAATTAAAGAACTAAAGATCTTTCTCTTTTCTCATTCTAAATTATGATGGATTATTAAGAGCCTTAGTTTTTCTGGCGATAAAGCAATGATTATTACTTCTGTTTGATCTCACATTTTATTAAGCACTCGTATTACAAAAAGTACAACAGATGCAATTGTTTTGCAATACTTCTGTCTCTACTGCTAAAAACAATGTAATGATTGGACAGATCTAGTTTACCACATTTTCTCCACACTTTCTAAGAGCAACATTTTAAAAGATTAAAAAAGCGAAAAGTAGGGAACGATGTATATATATCTCAATGCCTCTTAGCATAGAAGGTGCTAGAGTGAAGCAATTTCTAAGTTTTGAAATATTTATTTTTCTCCATGTAACCCACTATATGATGCCTGGTTGTCCAGAGATTAATATATGATTCCAGGAATCATAAGGGCTGCATAAAATATGACCTCAGGAATTGAATTTTTAAAATACCAATCACTAAAAAAATATATTTTTCCTCCACTGGGAAATGATTTCCTGTTACATAATCAGCTTGAAACTCTATCATCTTTCAGGATAGCCCCAAAACTGTGTTATATGATCCAATAGCATCAGGAATAAAGATTATTTCTTTGGGAAAGGGAAAAGAGAAGATTGTTACAAAAAGACCTATCAAAAGCAATTAAAGAAGTAAGACATATTTTTAATAGCACTGATTAAAACTCATGTTTGTATTTATGTAATTTATAGTCTTGCTGCATTTCTGCATTTTTTTTTCATTTAAATGCATTTAAAAACATTGGAGCATGTTTCTGTTTTGTAGATTTCCTGTTCCCTTCAGTATCTACTGTGTGTATATTGCCATTCTAAACTGAATAATGCTACACTTAACTAAGATCGCTATGTGCAATATTGTATTTAGTGTTTCTATTCCAATTTTTTTTAGAATGTTAATTTATATGAAAAATAAAAGAAATAATGAGATCAATGTTGTATTATGCATATAGTACTTCAGTTTTTGTTGCTCTGAGATGATTAACAATCACTCTGGTTGCAAAAAATGATTTTTTTTATTAAACAAAATTAAAACTTCCTCTTTTGAGAAATGTACAATATAATCTAAAACAACACATGAAGTCAACACCAAGGGAAAACAGATATACAAGCTGAGGGATGCTTTCTGGCTCAGTTTAGCATTTGGGCAATAGCAATAGCCCTTAGGCTTATATACTGCTTCATAGTGCTTTAGAGCCCTCTCTGAGCAGTTTACAGAGACAGCCTCCAACAATCTGGGTCATTTTACTGAACTGAGAAGGGTTAACCTTGAACTGGTCAGGATTGAACTACCGGCAATCAGCAGAGTTAGCCTGCAATACTGCATTCTAACCACTGCATCACCAGGGCGCCATTTGTCATATTGTTCTCAACCTATTCAGATCTAAATGAGGGGAAGTTCCTCTACCAATAACAATAGCATTTTGACTTCTATGCCACCCCAAATTGTTTTATAGCACTCTTTACAATTTACAGTGTAGAAGCATTATTTGCATATTTCCCTCAACAATCTGAGTCCTCATTTTAACACGCTCAGAAGGATGGAAAGCTGAGTCAACCTTGAGCCCCGTCAGGATTGAACTCCAGGTTGTGGGCAGAGTTTGCCTGCAATACTGCACTTTAACCATTGCACATCTAGGTCTCTTACTCTGGATTTCTCTGACCATACCTCATTTCTCTCTGCCATACACCATTCAGAAAATGCATCCTGCTCTACATTATTGACATCTACTTAATCCCATTTCCTACACTGAAACTGTTATAAGAAGTTGTTGTTAGCAGAATGCCTGGAGCAGTATTGTCATTGTTGGTTTCAGACAGATATAAGAATTGCATCCACTTTGGCTTTAGCCTCACCCATTAATGAAATTTAAATAAGGTACTGTGGACCTTACCAGAAAAAGGAATCCCTTTTCTAACCTCTAAACCAGCATTACAGGGCAAAATAGCATCCTCTTCTGTTTTGGTCAATTGGTTGCAAGTAATCTGCGTAACGGCTTATTTTTTAAAAGTGCCATCATATGACATTCATCTGTCCTTTCTTCAAACAAATGCAATTCATGCTTTGGTTTTGTTAGTTGGTTTCTATTGACTATATCATATTGCTTTCTTATCTTACCGCAGCTATCTATGGTGCCAGGAAAAGAAGCCTAGAACAATAGGTTGCGGGTAAGAATTATTAGAGATTATTGTCCCAAAGGTGATTTTTTTTCAAAAGGCAACTGGACTTTGTTTGGCTTGAAGACATTTCACTTCTCTTCCAAGAAGCTTCTTCAGTTCTGACTAAAGAACTGGCAGAACTGAAAAAGCTTCTTGGATGAGAAGCAAAACATCTTCAAGCGAAACAAGGAAAGTCCAGTTGCCTTTTGAAAAAGCACCTTTTGGACAACCATGACTTGGATAACAGAGAATCTCCTTAAACAATTAGAGATAATGGTTTTATATCACTAATTTGGGATCTGTAACTCACTATATATTCCTATGTCTGCAAATAATTCTTAAGTTTCCAGGTTCTTGTTCCCGGTCTACTGAAAATTCAAAATGTGGTTATTGTAAGAATATCTTATAGTACAAGATTGGCAACTGAAAGCCTACCCAAGACAAGAAACTGAGTTATCTTTGTATTGGATATTATCTGTGAATATGACAATTTATAACTGATGGATTAATCTATCTACCACTAGATGGCAGACTAATGTCTTAAAAAATATTAGAAGCTTTGAATTAGCAAGAAAAAAGGTTTATCTATTTGTAAGTTTTATATCATACTGAATAGCATTCCAGTCAGTAGCTCAGACTTCATCTTTCTGCATTAATTTATGTGGTTTCCATCATTCCAATTCCAAAGGCCATGTTATTTGGAACTATAAGAGCGCTTGTAACATAACTGGAATGCCGGGTTGGAGAAAGTTGCAATAGTAGTTCCTTAATAATTCAATGCAAGACTTTTTGCTATAAAATTGAAAGAATACCATGCAACAAGAATACAGGGTATGATTTGGGGGGTATGATTTGGGAGGAACATAAAGTGGCTTTGATTCAGATTTAACATCCAGATGTTAAAGATGCCTTGTCTAGAGTCATAGCTACTATTGACAATAACCCATTAGAACTCAGGAATTTGGCTAACCCAGTTCCTTACTGGGCAAGATTCAGCACCCCTGCCAAGCAAAAGCGGAAGAGCTAAAAGGAAAAAGCTGTTGAGATAAGGACTGATTGTTTCTTAATTTGGATAACTCTGGTTATAACTAAAAGTGAAACACTCTGATTTCAGTGGATCATAGAACTAAAACTGGATCCAGTTCAATGCCCCTTCTATAGAAGAAAACAAGTATGTGTGTGTCTACACAGTACCAGGGGTGTCAAACTGGATTTCTTTGAAGGCCAGATCAGCATTGTAGTTCTTCTCTGCGGGCCAGCTGGAGAGGGGAGGGGGAGAGACAGGATGGACACCTCCTGCAGCACCCTACTGGCCAAAATGGAGCCCCCTCCCCCCCCCCCCCCCACATCCATTTTGGCTGCCAGAGGCACTGTGGGCTAGTCCTTTGCTATTTCCAGGCTCCATTTTTGCTGGCAGAGGCACCACAGGCCAGTCCTTTGCTGTTTGCAGGGTGGCCTTGTAGGCCAGATCTAAGCACCCCCTGGCCCTTGAGTTTGATACCCCTGGTCTATACGTTCAGAGTACCTTGGAAGACTCCATTGTATGGAGCTGAACATTATTGATTTTCCTGAATTAGACCACTCATATGTTATGGATATTGATAGAATATCCTTGTTCATATTTTTGGGACATGTTTAATTTTGATCCCAAAACAGAAGTCTGTTCCAATGGTTACCTATTTATTGTTTAATGTCATGTTTAGGGTAATACTGCTTTGACACTTAGTCCTACACCTTTCAAAAAAGAATATAGAAAGTTGCAATGAGGAACATAGTTGAGATATTAGAAAGAAAATTCAGTAGCCCAATTTTAGTACAGTTGTAAAGAAAGGTTTCCTTCATTTATTTCCCTTAAAATAATACTTTCATATGACACCACCTCCAACTGATTATCAAAAGAGCACACTAGGTGTTAACTAGGTGTTATGTTAATGTTATGTTGAAGTTTGTGTACTTACAACTATTCCTTTGGAGTAGATCAATCATGATACCCTTAAATTCACTTTCATCCATTCCAAAATATCAGTCAATTAAACCCAGTTTATTTAAGAATTGAGATTTTATATATATATTATACATAACATACATTGCATTGACATGGGACCTTCAATTTCTGATACACTGCTCAACTACAACCATATCCTTGGGGTTGATGACATGCAATAAAACTGGAGAATTAAAAGTTCTGTCTGTGATATAACAGAAAATTGGAAATTAATGTGCGTCTATTACATTCAGTTTCCATACATACAATATCAGAGTGATAGTTTTCACTGGTTATTTTCAGCTACATGTATGCTGCTTTTAACTGAAATATTCTATAATGGCTCTATGATATTTTAATTATTTCATATTTAAATTAAGTGGATGAAGAAAACTCCCTAATGAAGGTTAAACTTAAGCTCTATGAATATATACATGAAACAAATATACATGAATTCCATATATCTCTAGAGCAGCTTTTTTCTATAATTTAACACGCCTAAAAATAATTGTTATATTTATAATATTTATTCCACTTCATTTTCATTTATAAAACAAAATTTAAATAGTATGAACTATTACAACATTAACTCAACTCTTATAAAACAACCCGAAAAGCATTCCCCTATCGTAACAGATCTGGTTTGTTTGTAACAGGCTGGTAAAGAGCTCTAGTTATCCTACATTATTGCTTGAACAATTTTTTTACCAAGTCCTAACAATAAGAACCCAGTGTTCTCTTTCACCAAGAAGCAATGTTCTTGGGCAGCAGGCTTGTACATAAAAATACAGCTATCCTAACTAGTTCTTCCCTAAGATCTTTGATAGAAATCATAAGTTATGATCATTAAAACCACTAAAGCAAGCCCCATTCTTCTTTACTATACTTTTCTAAGCATGATATTTTTCTTGTGTAATATCAAGGGATTGAATTCTAAGGCCCACATACCTACCCAATCCTCGCTTCCTGTGCCAATTCCCATAATTGACAAGCCTAATGGAGATCAATCACTCAAAACCTCTCAAAATAATCTGTCCAGCATAAAAAGAGAACTATGCCATTGAACCCTTGAGGTGGCATAAATTTGCAGCTTTGTTCAACCCTATCTGATCATGTCAGGAGGAAACTAGTAGCAAAAAAACGTATTTGAACATTTCAATACTTTGACTATACTTATCACAAATGCAAACTTCAAGCCATGCAATGAGGTCACCATCAGAGTTACCCAGAAATTTTCAAAGGAATCTAAATGGTAACTTCTGGAACATGCAAAACCATAACATGCAGCCTTGTATTAATTGGGTTTATCAAGTTTTCATACATTAAATTTTATCGTACATGGATGCAATTTTGTACAAATGAAACAGAGTTAATTTAAAGAAAAAATACAGTATGTTGCTTGCTTTGTGCTATGGTATTGCTATAGATCAAACACAATATTGCTTTCCTTCACAAATATAGTCACTCAAGAGATGGAGATAAATTCTCAAAAGTGAGACTAGGGAAGGAAAATTAACACTAGTAAAATTCTGTGGGCTGTGAGGGATAATCTGCTCTCATATTTAAGATTTATCTCAACCCTTCAAATATGAAGTCATCTCACAAATTATACATGCTTATAATGCTACATTTAAAAGTTTAACAATTATTTGTGGTAACATGACAAATGAGACATTGCTGTAGCGCTTGTACT